GAGAGGAGATGAAACAGAAAAGAGCGATGAAGGAAAACAGAAAGAGCGACAGAGAAAATGAGAGACTGAGTGAGTGATGGAAAGAGTAGGGGAGATGATGAGAGAGAGTTTAAAAAAAGGAGAGAGAAGGGAAGGAGAGGTGCTGAGTGGCAGAAAAAGTGTTTATCTTTCTGCTCACATGCCTCATTCCTGATCAGTAAGAAGCAGACCTTTCATTTCACCTCTCCTCACCTGTCAACACACACAAAAACACCCATGTACAAGAACTCACGCACAGATAGAATATCATATCAAAAGTCATTTGTGTGACAACTGAAAAATGATCGAAATAAGGTCAACTTGTTTGACCCGTCCACTCATCACATCTGTCAAAACAGCTGCCTCAGCCAGGCAGAGGTGACATTGGGGCTGTAAAAGTATAGAAACATGGTGTAAGAGGAGCGAGTAGAAGCACAGTAGAAATCTGTGACTGAGCAATGGATTCTGCATCATCACAGTTTCCCTTCCCTATTTCATCTACATGTATGCATTTTACAGCTACACATTCCAACAGATTCGTTGGTAGAACATGCCACAGGTATTAAATCGACTTTGATCTTATTTGTGTCAAGATAATCACCAAATGTTGCACTTTTTTAAATTAAGATTAATCCTGCTCATATCAGAACACTGAAGTTCATGTAGCCATTGTCTGATGTTGGTACAGGAAAGGTCTCAGTCTAGTTAGTAGCAGGAAACAGTATGGTCTCAGTGGTCCAGATGCACATTATGTACAGGATATACTGTGCAGGGAGAGGGCCTCTCTTGGAACAAATAAGCTGCTTCAAATATCTGGCAATGAGTTTTTTTTCTTATGGACATGCGTCAAATGCTTTCAACCAACGCAGACAAATTGTGTAAGGTAAAACAAACATGGCTTTACAGATCATTTGTTCTGCTCTGCAGCATGTTCTAGTGATAACATCTCGTGTAAAAAAAATTTTATGCTGTAAAATTGCTGCTACAAAATACATCTTATCATGCTGAATATCAGTGCATTTCAGCCACTCGCTTCTTGTGGGAATCTCTCACATTATAGATAGGTCCCACCACTTCAGGAAGCCACTCGATACAGAACTTTTTAGTTTTACCAGATATTGGATTCAGTGGGAAATAACAGAGATGATGAGAGGAGGAAATCCACACAAAAAAGACCTTGAGACAGACTCAAACTGGCAAGCTAAGAGGATGTGTCATGCACATTAGCCTACCAAACCTTAGTGTGCTCTCACAGTACCCGTGACTGATAATCAAACACTTTGATGTGAAACATATTGTAGCTTTGCTTGTGTAATAGGATCCATTCAAGTGGAACTCATGACGTTTTATATTTTAAGTGGTTTAAGTCATGTTTAAGTGCAATATAGAAACACTGTTGCTAGGTGACTGACAACAAAAGACAATAAAGTCTTGTTCTCTTTTCAAGGATTTCATGTTTTTCATTTTTAGTAACATGACAAATAGACAAAAAAGAAACTGCTAATTAAAAAAAAGTGTAACCCATTTCCTCAAGAAATTACTTTCTATTCTGCTGATTTGTTGTTTGCCAGTAATGTTTTGACAGAAACATGATGGCTGCCAGGATTATGGACAGTGGGATTTAACACTACTATTTGATCAAGACCACGTTCTTTTATAACCACGCTGTAGTATCTAGAAGCAGATATTGTATTGCAATAACTGATACTGTGGAGAAAACAAATGAAAGACATTGTCAGAGCATGTTTTGCAGATCTATTCAGTATGAATATTTTGCGACTTGGATGAACAAGTTTTTTTTTATGATTAAAAATATTTCTTAATTATGTTGCTCGAAATTTAACTCAGAAATCATTATAATTTTTCTCAAATTTCTCATTTGGTGTTGCAAATAAGTAGAATATTACTGATGTATGCCACAACTCTGTGGGTATTCAAAACTGTCAACATATAAAGTCATGAATACATCAAATAGACAAACAGGTGAGAGCAGAAAATAACAGTTGAGAAGGAGCGGCTTTGAGACAGAAGAGTAGAGGAAAAAATATAGACTTTGAAGAATCAGCTCTTTCATAGGGAGCAGAACTGTGATATCAAGGGATACTTAGTAGTTAAAAGGTGTGACAGGGAGAGGAGGATGTGGAGAGAGAGTGAGAGGAAGGGATAGGACAAGGACAGGAAGAGGTGCGGAGAGGAATGTGTTGGGGCTAGACAGACAGGAGGATATGGCCATACTAACTGTCTCTTTTCCCAGAGGAAGACCTGTTATAGTGAGAACATATAAAGTAGAAAGAGATTGGATCAAGATACATGACACTTTTTGCTTATGTTATTTCACAAGTCATGCCACCACTTGGTTTTTGCTTTTTATGGTATTAGCAGTGGTTTCATCTGCAAAGCGGAAAACCCTTCCAGAGAACTGTTTGCTGGCTCCTCTGGATCATGGCAGCTTGCACTTGCCCTGGCTGACTGTTCCACCGCTAGAATAATCACTTCATATCAGCTGGGTGGTCGAAACATAATTGACTTAGGCAGTGAAGATGAATCACACTGTTCAAATGGTCACACAGAGTGTATCACTAATCAATCCCTTTGGCCACATGGATGCTGTTCTGGGCCTCTTGACAAACATGCACTAAAAGATCTCATGAAAAAAAAAGATTATTTAAGAGAGATAAATAAAGACATTGAAAGAAAGTGAAGACAATGTGAAACTGTGGTGTTTCCTGTTTCCCGTTTCCCATACCAGGACACGAAGTGGGCTGACATCAACAGAAACAAACAAAAAAACTAAACCAATTGCCTTGAAAACATGAAAAAACATTCTTAACACGGATACTCACTAAAACAAGTCAGTTGGACAGTCACATTTGGAAAAGAGGATAAACTTACTGGCAGGTTGTATTCTGTGGAAATATACCATTATTAACTCAGAACTCAGAGTTAAGCTAAGTTTTGCTTGTTCTTGTTTGTGAATTTATGTTGAACTCAACACATTTGACATCATTAATACAGAAGCATATTGATCAGGCAGCATGAATGACTTAGTTGTTGTGGGTTGTTCAGATGCTGTTAAAACTGCTGACAAGCTGCTCACATCTCATTTGAAAGTGTTTCAACTGTGCCGCATGTGGTGTGTGTGTGGGCGGATTTTGTTGGGTGTGTGTGGGTTATCATCTGCATAAAGCAGACAGAACACTGTGTTCAATGACGCATGGAACATACTCAGATGGTTTAACCTGAACATTTAGCCTGGTACATTCTATGGTTTAACAAGTTGTCTTGTGTTACAAATTGTTGTAATGCAAGTTAAAGACTTAAAGCCAATATGTTTTGAATTAGACACTTTGCACAATGGCTTACTATAAGTTCATTCAGCTTCAGTGGGGAGTTCAGTTCAGTGATATGGTGGCCAGCTGTCCAGAGGCAGTGCAGCACAGTGGTCAAGCCGGAGTGTAAGGTTTGGCCACGGCTCTGACGTAGAATGGTGCTTCACTGCCCTGTAAGCTAGCACCAGGGACAAGAATAGCTGGGTTTCAACATGGGGCCTAGAACTGATCCTTGTGGAATCCCTATTGGTCACCAAGTTTAAACACAGCAGACAGGTCCAGCTTAATGAGAAGAGAGAGAGTTCATTCTAGCTTTGTGGAATTCCTCATTGAAAGGACAGCGTTTACTAAGGATTCATTAGAGTGGCCTGCCTTAAACTGACGATGGTGTGGGTCTAGGGGGTTTGTCCTATAATTATAACATCTTCTAAATTATGCAGGCTTCCTCCTTCCTGTAGAAAAATGGCCTAAAGTCCCAATGCACATTGGTGCATTGTTGCCATTCAACTCTGTGTCCTAACAGTTGTCTACTGCAGTGTTTAAAAAAATAAAATAAATACACATAGTCTACACATAGTGGCATGGCAGTGATAACCCTTAAATACCTCCTTAAAGATTCCTGAAATTGCACATCCCCCCTCCCCCTTGATAAAGCTGAAATGCATGCACTGTTCATTTCATTTTATGCATTTTATGGGGTGACGAAGTCCCATCAAAATGTCACTATGAAAAGACATGTTTTCTTGCTTGTATTGTTGTCTTTTTGGTATTGTATTGTTTTCTTTGCACTTGTTGAAGCACTTTGTAACTTGTTTTTGTGATTGTTTGTCTTGAGCATTAAGTGGCTACAAATAAAGATTATTATTATTATTATTATTATTATTATTATTATTATTATTATTCAGTGTTGGCAGTTAAACTAAGCTAATGTAAAACTGTAGGTAGTAGGCAAGTAGCTATTTAATGGTGACTTTGTGCCGGAACTTCTTCTTATATTAACTACCAACCTGATCCAAAAGCAATTCTTATTGCACTTATTAATCACATAAGCAAGAGGCAGAACTCATATTACTGAACTCACTGTGTCTTGCACTCTGAATATGTGCCCTCAGCCCCTTTAACCTGTATTCAACATACAATGTGAAGTATTTGTTGTTACTTGTATTAGCTGTGGTGTTTGTAGTGGTGGTGATAAGATGTTTTCTTATCTGACTCATACCACAACCTCAATCCATCCTTAGCTTTGTTGTTTTAGTTAAGATAGTCTAAGTGATATAAGGCATGTAATAATACAGTATAGTAGGGCATTTAGGTTAAAGATTGTTGTTGTCATGTTTTAAACTGCTCAAATGCAGCTGTACAGCTACCTAGCAGCCAAAATATGTGGTTTTGAAGAGTGGCTTCCATGTGTGAATGTGAAGTAGGGTGGTGCTGACAAAGAGCTCAGAACCTGCCTTGAATAAATAGAGGTTAAAAAACTAATGTTTCCCAGAGGGCACTGGGTGCTGTCGAGCTGTCAGTACACTGCAGACATTCGATATACACTAAAAGCCATTCCTTGTCTTCTGATAGGCTGCTGCCCTGCTGTGATGTCATGGGGGCTTGCTTATAAAACGGGTGACGGACTCAGCTGCTTCAAAAGGGCAAGTGTGGTTGAGGGCTGAAAGAGTGTGTTTATACATGAGTGTGTACTGGAAAGAGAGAGAGCGGGGCAGAGTGTGTGTATGCGTTTCACACACAAAACCAGATATACATAACTCAGCAGAAGAGGAACAGAGACCAAAAGCTGCTGACAAACACATTATAATGATACTTTGTATTTTGTATTTAAAAGCGTCTGGATTATCAAATCACTGGATTGTAAAGCAGAGGACGGAGCCTGGAGGTAAGAAAAATTAACTGCACCAAGTCTAGTTTACATACATATGCATGTCGCATGCACAGTGCTCTATGCTATGAGTGCAGGCATATAGTCATATATTACAGAAACATCTACTTGTGATGGCACCGTGGCTATATAAGTGTCTTCTGGTTCACATATCAGAATTAATAAAACCTTGAAAGGATTTTAGTGTTAAATTAAATGGTTAGGTTCTAGCTCAGTGCCACATGGGGAGTTACTTAACCATTTCATGTAGTTTTTTACACAGTAAAAGGCTCTGCTTTTCATTAATTTTAACAGTCTTATGGTAGATAAAAGTCCATGTTGATTTAAGTTATATGTGAGCTCTAAGGACAAATTTAAAGCTTTTCTATCATATGATCAGAGTCAATTTTGCAAATACATCCACTGCTTAATTTTAAAACTCTTAAGTCTGAAATATTTTAAAAGCATCCATTTCCTTCTCATTTCGTTATTCTAACAGCTGCCACATGAGTAATACCTCTCATCAAACCTAATGTATCAGAAAGAAGTATTTTTTCTGGTGTGAGGGTACTTTTTAGATTCAGTGAATCCAAACTAGCTTTCCTTTAACATATATGGTTTATTTTATCTGAACAGCAAAATGCTTTATGACACAGTTGTTATTCCAGAATTTGTGCTCTAATAACAACAAAGTTTGGTCTACTATCATCAGTGCATTCGACTGAGCACTGCAAAAGCTGTTACGTGTGCATGTGTATTTTTGTGTTTGCACGTGCACTTGCACCCGTGTGTTTGTGTGTGTACTATGGTGCACATTTTTGTGTTCAAGAACTCAGCATGATTACCGCTAAGCTATTTCTGCCTAAATATTAGGAAAATTATGTCTCAGTAAATCTTGTGTTTGACTATTGGCCTGAGAAAGCTGGTCAAGTATCTTGGTGTGTGTGTATGCATGGTTATGTGTGTGTGTGCAGCTCAGGGACGTCCACAGAACTTTTGAGGGGCTGTTGCTCTAACCTGAAGAAAGCCCCCCTCCTCCAACTTGATTTTAGGTGTCACCAAACAGTATGTACATGAATGGTGTAAAACATGGTCATTTAACTAAGCACATATCAATTTTCAAACGGCACACTGTGTCCATAGCTAATTTCCCCGTCCCCTAACAAATTTAGGACATGCCCTCTTGGAGTGATAGGTGGGTGCCCTCTAAGGTGGCTAGCCATGAAGTAGTTTTAGCAAGCAGGCTTCATACAGCCTGCTTCAGCTTCACCTTCACCTCTTTGCCCAGTTTTGGATCAGCCTGAGTCAAGGACTACCAAGATAGCAACGGCCAGAGCCGCCCATGGTGACCTTCACAATGTCTCTTTAGAGACCTTTGGGAGATGTCACAGAGAATACGTCAGTCTTTTATACAGTCTATGGTTTCAACATGGTACAATGGTCCTTCATTTAATTACTTGTTATTGACAGCAGAATTTATGTAGAGCAATGAAACAAGTGAAACCAAAAAAGTGAAAACCACATAATTGAAACTTCAAACGTAAACTCTTCGATCTCAGATGATTATGAGTTGATATTTTATACACCATGTAAAGTAAAAATTTTAAAGTAGATTATGCAAATTTGACCACTGGAAATTTAACAAACCTCACGGTATTATCCAAGACCAAGTTTTGATTGTACTCATACCTCCATGAATGAGCCACCAAGGGATGTCTGGATTTCCATAATAAACATTCCTGTCTATGAAATTTCCAGAGACACGACAGTGCCAAGCAAAATGCTATCATTACTTTCAATCCAATTTCATCCATGGAGCGTTTTAACAAAGCTTTTTAACAAAGACACTTTTAAGACATACATACAGTTTAGAATCGTAAAGAATACCATTGTCCACACCATCTTTCTAAGCCCACTCTTACTGGTATGGCCCTACAGTAACTCTCTCCCACTCAGCCATTACCATGCTCATTACCTCATTGTCTGGTCTGGAGCCTGGTTGCGCCTCATGTTAAAGTGAATTATAAGAATCATTATTAAGAATACCATTGTCCACAGCATTTCCATTTCTTGGGTACGGTATAAACACTATTTAAAGGACTTTATGAACACTTTGCTGAATTAATGTACAACCAAATCATCAACTTCATCACTCACTCAAAAAATGCACTAAGACAACTTAACATTTTGGTGTAGCCAGTTGAATTTTCATAGACCTGATGTTGACAGCGGATTGACTCAATGCTTCCTGGTTAAGCCCAGGAATTAGACTATATCTAGTTTTGTGTGTAAGAAAATGTATTAGAATACAAAATAATTACAAAATGTCATATATGATTTCATTTTCTGGCCTTACCATCCCATATTTCACTATTGCTGTAAGAAATATTATATATTATATATATATTTACTTGATCACCGTGCTCTTCACTGTTCTCAGAACTAGAGCTTGTGCACGTCCTTGGTGTAGCTGTTTAAATAGCTCAGGCAGGGAGAAGAGCAGATTGAGCAGAATGTCTTACACAAACTTGACTATGTGTTAGTGCAGGTAACCGCCTACATTATTGATCTTCCCAATAGGTGCATTAAACAGTCACAAGGATTCTAGGATCAGACCTTTAGGAGGGCTCAGCCCCTAATAACAATGTGACCTGCTTGCAGTGCCTTGCAAAGGTCATTAACCCCCCTGCACACACAGTATTTATGATGTATATGCAATCAATGTGGGCAAAACAGTAGCTGACTTGGCATTTTAACCATGCGATCTTGACCACCTGTCCTCTTTCTCAACTGGTTCTTGGTGTCTCTCTCTCTTCCTCTGTGCCTACTCCACCCTACTCTCTCTCCTTCTCTCCTTCTAAGTCATCCTTTCGACATCGGTGTGCTGTCAACCAAAAGGCAAACATAACAACCAAACAGAATATTTTTAATGCAATAAGAAGAAAGAAGGGGGAGAATCTATAGTGCTACAGTGCTCCCACTATAATCCTCCCTCCTTCAAAACAGTTATTGGCTCCAACTGCCGGTTTAAGAATAGGTAGACCTCAGAATGAGGTGCAAGCAAACAATATTTATTAAATAAGTAGTTTCTATAGAATCTTAAGATAAGTGAATATTAACATTAACACAAATAGGACATTGTAGAAAATGTAACAAGTAGAAAAGCTTTATGTCTCAAAATAGTAAAACTAAGCTAAACACACTAATGCTGTGTGAATAGCTTTTGCCCCATAACGCTTACTTCTCATATCATGAAATGTTTTGAAAGGGTTATCCTAGGTCACTTGTCTAAACATGTTTCGACTTTTCAAGATCCTTTACAATTTGCATATAGGAAGGGTGTAGGAGTTGACGATTTTATGAATTTTTATGCTGCATAAAATTTATAGTCACCTTGAATCAATGGCCAGTTCAGTCAGAATTAAGTTTTTTGATTTTTCTAGTGCTTTTAACACTATTCAAACACACATTTTAGCCCCAAAATGTATTAATTTTAAACTACACAACACCACTATTGTTTGGATTTTAGATTACCTCTTGTTACGTCCCCAGTTTGTCAGATTTGATAAAAAAAATATCTGACACTATTTTAACTAAAACAGGAGCACCACAGGGCACAGTTTTTCCCCCTTTTTTATTCACACTCTACACTGCTGACTGCAGGCATGGTCAGGCATCTTGCCACATTCAGAAATTTTCGGATGACACTGCCCTTGTTGGTCTTCTTAATCGTGGTGATGACCAGGCCTATAAAAATGAAATTGCCTCCATTGTGAATTTGTGTGAGTCAACCTTTTTACACCTGAATGTTGGGAAAACTAAAGAGCTGATTATTGACTTTAGGAGGAAGAAGGAGGAGGTTCTTCCTGTGATCATCAAAAATCAGCAAATCAAATTTGTCTCGTCATATAAATATCTCGGTGTTTGCCTGGACAGCAAATTAAACTGGGGGAAAAAAACACAGACATTGTTTTTAAGAAGGCCCAGTCAAGGCTATTTTTCCTAAGGAAATTAAGATCCTTTGATGTGAGCAGAAATCTGCTTTATACCTTTTATCAAGGAACTATTGCCAGTGTTCTTTTTTATTCTGTGCTTTGCTGGGGAGTCAGCATTATTGTAGAGGATAAAAATAGGATCAATAAGTTGATTAAAAAGGCTGGCTCTGTGATCGGCCTTCTCCCTAAGTCACTCGAGGTCATTTTAGAAAAGAGAAGAAGTGCCAAACTGAAGAATATCATGGATCTTGTGGACCATCAACTCCACAGTGTCCTTAAGACACTTTAGTGGCCAACTTAAGATGCCTCGGTGTTCTACTAAACGGCTTAGAAGGTATTTTATCCCAACAGCAATTAGATTTTTTAATGAATACGTCTGATTTTTGTTTTCAAGCCCTTCAGCTGGTCACATTTTTAAAAACCTGTCAGCTCTAATCAGGGTTCTAAAAGCTTTAAATAGGTGCATTATTTTTTTTGGTTTTGTTTGTACATGCTGATTGTCCTTTCTGTTTATACTATATGTTGTGTGATGTAAGCTAGTGGGAATTGAGTTTCCCCATTGGGGATTAATAAAGTTTTTCTATTCTATTCTATTCTATTCTATTCTAATGGCCATACAATGTACACATAAGGCTATAGGATTTCATGGTTCCAGAAGTAGATTGGACGCTACAGGCAGGTTTCAGGAATTTATTCACAAAACAGAAACGTAGAGCAGGTTGAGGCTGACGGGGCTGAGGCTATAGGCTATATATATAACTGCCAAACTGGCAGATGGGCAGGAAAATCCGATCCAGCAGTTCTCCTCAAGAATGAGTTCCAATCCCGTGTTGGTCTGGTTGGAGTACCTGGACACAGAGAACACAGGTCAGAAACAGGCAGACAAAACGGGCAGACAAACCCAGATTCTTTGGGTAGGTTCCAGTGAGCTGGCTGTAAAGACATAGGAAACAAGTACAACTTAATGATCTGGCGGGGACAGGATGTGTGACTTAAATAAACTAAAAAAAAAAATAAAAATAAGGCTGGAACCCAAGGGAGCGTGGATCAGGTGAGGCAAATTGGATGAGATGCAGTCAGTGTGCGCAGTCAGCTCCCACGGCAACAGTCACGCCCCCCCAAGTTCCCTGCAGTCCAGGAGATGGGGAAAGAGAAACCAAAACACAACAGCCACACCACATACATACAAAAGCGAAAATCAGCAATAAAAAGCACTTTCACAAATGCATCCTGTGTCACAACTAAGTTGCAGGGGAACATCTTACAAACATGAGTAAAAGATTAAATCATTCCATTTGTTATATACAGTCTAGTACTGAATTGTGCATATCATCTGTCAGTGGCAAACCGTGCTGTGCTTCATAATTCATGAAACACCCTTCTAAGCATCAGTAATGAAAGATTGATTTTTAAAATAAGTCTGCAGTTAACTTTCCAGCCTATCCATAATTTGTCCCACACTCTGGCACGTCTTTATTCTCTAAAAGTGTTGCGGTGGAGACATTTTAGCAACACTTGCCGTACGCTTGCAGGTCAGATCATAGAAGCCAAATGTAAACTCTATCATCAACATCATTGCAAGACTCAGGACACAATACTGATATCACATGTATGTCAATGGGGGAGAAAGACTCAAAGGCATGCAGACCAACCGATACAGAGGAGACATCTAACTTGCTCTGTGAAAGAGCACACGTTTTCACCTTGCTTTATTCATCTAAATAATGCTCCAGTTCCAGTAGATGCAGTTCAACATGTTCGGCATTAAGACACCCCTACTACTAGAAAGGTATTCTGTCTGACCACATCTAAAAGTTGTAGCTCATCCTGACACTGAGGGAGTAAAGAAAGACTAAAGAAGCCTGAACTGGACCTTACACTTGAGCTATCTAGATCTCTTCATCCATTATGAATGAATCTGTGTTGTTCTGCTTGTTGTGATTATAGATCATGGAACCTGTGAGTCTGGTCTCAGCACTGGCTAACCAGACAGGGCACAGCAACTCTACCCTGGAGTCTGATTGGTCAACAAGATCTTCGGAGTACAGTGATGCAGAGCTTGTGCTGCTAGGTGTTGCAATGGCTATTCTGGTTCTGGCCATAGTTTTTGGTAAGTTACGCATCATTTCACCATTTAAATTAGTTGATGGTTTGTTGTATTTATTGATTGGATGCCTCTTATTTTAATGTATCTTTTCTACTATCTAGGTAACGTGCTGGTGATTACAGCCATCCTGCGGTTCCCGCGGCTCCAGACAGTCACCAACCTCTTCATTGCCTCACTGGCTATTGCTGACCTTATCATGGGTTTGGTTGTGGTCCCCTTTGGTTCCAGCTACATCATGCTGGGAGCCTGGCAGTTTGGAAACTTCATGTGTGAATTCTGGACAGCAACTGACGTGCTGTGTGTGACGGCTAGTATCGAAACCCTGTGTGTGATTGCTCTGGACCGCTACCTCGCCATCACCTCTCCGCTCCGCTACCCAACACTACTCACCAGGTATTGCCAAGACATATCAGTCTGGCTTTGTGGGGGTTGAAGTAGAATAATTATTAAAGTTAAGAAAAATTCAATCAGAATAGATTTTTACTAAATATGAAGTAGCACAAAATCAAATAAGCTTTCACAGTTTTTGTCCTGGGTTGCTAAATGAATTCAACCTTTAATGACTCTTGTAGGAATACCGCTGCTGGACCATGTTGCATGTTGTACATCTAGCCACACCTCAACCAGTCATGTCACACAGGTGTTTTCCATCAATTGTCAAAGGCAAAACCTTTTGTGACATCACTTTTTGGGATGTGGCCATAATCCATACAGCAGTGCAACAGTTACTTTCCGCCCTATTTATCAGCCTGATAATATCTTTCCTCCTTCAGATTTGGTCCCCTAAAATATTGGTCCCAAATTAGGATCAACTTATTTTTATCTGCATTTTGGAAAGGACCTGTTCCAGTAGACTCTATTAAATCTATCAAAATCTGTCTTGGGGAGTACTACTGCAAAAGCTGTATAAAAAGGATTTTGTATCTCAGTGGGAGAATTGCAAAATCTGATAAATTGCCTTGAATGATGTCACTTGAGTCAGCATTTGTCGGAGCTGAGGACTACATATTTGAAAAGAAAAAAATCTGAGGGTGGAGATAGAAAGATGTGAGCTTACCAGACCTCTGTAGCACATTCCTCATCTCTGCACGAGGCTAGTAGCTTGAGGCTAAATTATTCACTACTAACATAGCACCTGAACTTCCAACTGAACCATTATTGAATGCATATCTCTCACCTGTCTGTGTTTTATATATATATATATATATATATATATATTGTTTACAATATTCTTCACCTGTCTGCGCTCTCCTGTCTCCCTCTGCTGACCAGAGGCCGGGCCTTTGCGGTGGTCCTTGGGGTTTGGGCAGTGGCCTCCCTCATCTCCTTCCTGCCCATCCATCTGAAATTGTGGGTGTCAGATAATGCGGAGGCTCTTCAGTGCTTGGCCGACGAATACTGCTGTGATTTCAACACCAATGCAGCGTACGCTGTGTCTTCCTCAATTGTCTCATTCTACTTGCCACTGGTGGTGATGATTTTCCTGTACACCCGCGTCTTCCAGGAGGCTCAGAAACAGCTGGAGAAGATCAGAGGGAGGGAGAGACACTTCTATAACTTGCATTACATTGCACAGCTGACTGATCCCGATGATAGTCTTGCAATGAACAAACACAGGGCAGGAACTGAGGCAGGGGAGGACAGACTAAACATGCAGAAAACAGGAAGAATAGACACTGGTAAGGAGGAAAGGTTAGGAGAGAGCAAAGCAAGGACAGAAAAAGGAGAAGGAAAATACTCTGCCACAAAGCGTCTTAAGTTCTGTCTTAAGGAGCACAAGGCTGTGAAAACTCTGGGGATTATCATGGGAACCTTCACATTGTGTTGGCTTCCCTTCTTCATCCTCAACATCCTCATGACCTTCCTCAACTTGGGCAACATTAAGCTGCTCTTCAGACTCCTCAACTGGCTAGGGTACTCCAACTCAGCCTTCAACCCACTCATCTACTGCCGCAGCCCCGACTTCAGGCATGCCTTTCAGGAGATACTCTGTTTGAGGGGCAAAGGGGGGAGCTGCAGAGGTAGGAGAGGATTGGGATGGTGCAGGGAGAGAGATTGTTACTCCAAGCCTCCAGGTAGGATGAATGGGAACTCAGACCTGCATGGTGTTAGGGGGCTGGACGTTCAGCAGAGGTCAGGGTGGAAGGGCAGTTTGGCAATTCGAGACAACTCACTAACTCCTTCAAAGTCTTGCTGTGAGCAGGTTTTAGAAGTAGCTCCTGGTTCCCCAACAAACTGGCAGGCTAACAGTTCTGCTAATGAGAGCTGCAAGGACAGTCTGGCTTCTATTGCTTGACCAATTAGGATATTAGACTTTACATTCTGTGTGCATAGCTGTGCAGTAAACAGCAGTTTGATGAAGCTCAAAACATTTGTTTTTTGTGGAGATTGACTCCAGGCTGTAGCTTATAGTGTCGTTAACTAATATTCCATTAGTTGTGTTTTGGTCAATGTTACTGAGGTTTTACTTGTGATCACCTCTTTGCTGCTGCAGCTTTCCTAATAACAATGTAAATCACAAAGGCAGCTACATAAGTAAACCATGTTCAGCAGTGAGCTTTGAAAGAGGGCCGACTTAAACCTCTAATTGAAATTTTAAGGCATCATAATGTCACTTTTTGAGAAATGAGGAATGAGGCGGATTTACAACAACACAATGCAAAAGTCGCTGCCTCAAAAATAATGATAATCAAACAACAGACACAGAAAAACCGCTTTAATAAAATGAAACCAAACATTATGATCTTCACCAAACTGGTCCTTACAACAGAGCTCAGATCATTGGAAGATGTTTCTGTTATTCTGTCCACCCCGCTGATTATACCAACTGGATAACAGAAAGGTGATGTTATAATGTACTGTATATGATGCTACTGAGATACATGACAAAAAGAAGTTAATCATTAAAGGACATTACTGCTATTACATGTGTCACAGTAAGTAAGTGGAACGGTTTTAATGACTGCTTGATAATAAAATATTGTACATGGTCATGCATACCAAAATGATCCTTTTATTAAAAGCAGTCAAAAAGTTGCTGTTGTTTAGAAGTGTAGAAAAATGAGCCATTGGCCAGAAGGTTGCTGGTTCAAATTCCTGAAAATTATGCACCTCGTCTCCTCACAACTACAGTTAAAGTGCCATTACTCAAAGATGTCACAGCGCAAAGTGCTTCACATCTACTGGACTGGAGGTGCTGTGAATGTGTAGCTGTTCAAAAATACTATTTTACAATTAGAAAAGTATGGATTATAACTCCTTGTGTATTCAGATCAGTTTTCATGACTGAAATTCACATGAGAAAATCTCCTGCATTTTCTTAAAGCCTCTGAAAACTAGTTTTTCAAGTATTTCTCTACAATATAAAGTATTCATGACCTAATAAGCAACAGTCAAAGGACTGTGTGGGTGTGCTTTGATCATATTTGATTGACAGTGATGGTAAAAGCCCGTCAAATGTCATCAGATTCATAATCAAATGTTGATACATTCTCAATGGTGCATGAAAGTATGTGGCATCACCTTTTTCTAACTAAGCCCCGCCCACTTCAAAACCAATAAGAAGAGCAGAGAAAATATTCACAAATTCAGAGACTGTCCTCCCCCAAAATACAGCTGTATAAGGTGTCTATGCAAGCAGCTAATTACGACCCATATTTACGGTTTACCAGCCGTTTCACAACGTTAACCACATGTTTATTATTGTTACAAAGACGCAGTACACCTGTGACTGGTTTTCTCCACATACGTCATTTTTAGAGTGACTGGCAAACAACCTGTTCCGTCGTTTAGGTATGAGGACGTGTTGGAAATCTATCTTGTGAAATAACCAATGAACTGTTCTATCTTTGGCAGAAGTGTTCTTGCAGGATCCCATCCTTCATAGTAAGAAGTTTTCAGATCCTTTAAGATGAATTTTAAAGAACAACTAGATATAATCTTGCAATACTTCATCAATACAACAACTTCCTATGGCCAAGCTACCACATTATTGAATATTTTTATATCAGGTATTTTCTACTTAAACCCTCAAGGCAGGAAGCATAAGTAGCCAACCTTGTCTGCCAATGCAAGCATCCAGAACCTCCATGAAGCAGCAGAGATTAAACTTTTTGTTTGCCCTATGGCTAAAAGTCTTATTTGAAACAAAGGGTCTCATTTGAGGCTTACTTGCAAAAACCTCCTCAGATTATCAACAGCCCACTTGTTTTTCATTCCTTCCTGATAAACCTCATAGCTGGTCCAAAATCATTTACTGACATATATTTGTGCATCAGATAAACATCTAAGACCCAAACTTGTGACTATCATTACTCCTTGCTTTCTTTCATCACATATGCACTGGAACTATTTTCCCTCACTCTCTCTCCTCCACATCAACATCTAGCCACTCTTTCCTTCCATCCTGTCGGCTTTAGCTCTGTTATACAAAGAACATTGTCAGACAGAGCTGGGGAGATAATTTTCATGCAGTGGGACTGTTTCCATAACAGTGTCTGTTACACTCACTGTAAAAACACAGCAGTCATATTAGACATATTTCATGTACTTTTTACATCACTCAGAAACTTGATTGAAGCGAAACTGTGTTTGGATTAGTTTTATTATTTATTATTTATCATTATTTTCCAAATTCAAAGTGATGATGATAAAGTAGCCCACACTCAGTATATCTATAAATACTCCAAGTGGACAAATTAAAATCTGAAAATGATCTCCCCAGCCCTGCAATTTATATGTTGTGTTAAAATTACAACTGAACAAGGTATTGAGGGTCAATAATTGGCAATGGTATTGTAAATGTGTGTGTGTGTGTGTGTGTGTGTGTGTGTGTGTGTGTGTATGTATGTATCGATCTGTATGTTTGTTCTGTGTACTTGTGATGTGATTAGTGCTGTTTGTGTATTTTAAAGCTTGAAACATGCCATTTGATATTTTTACTGTAATGTGTAATATGTATGGATGAGACTTGTATGAGCTAACAGTTGAAAAATACTGTACTAAAATACTTTTGTGTATTTTTTTTTTTTCAAATTCAGTAATTTATCTGGTCAGAAAAGAACAATGCTAGGAGTTGTTTTGTATCATGTCAGTTAATATATGTGGACATTTGATCACAGAGTTTAAGCAGCACTGAGACATGAGTCTACACTCAAAAAAAGTGATTTGTTATTTTACAAGATAAATCTGAAACTGAAACAAAATGTTAGTTTTCAGAAGTTCAGCTTTTCACCAGAGGAATGCATTCTATTTTCTACCTCCATCAGAGTCACATGAATGTCATCTCATCTCTGTACATGTTTTTGCCTTGTTTTTGTGAGTGAAAGAATTACATTTGACTTGGTGATGTGCTTATCAATAGAATTACACTACTTCTTAAGTTACTAGTAAATCCAAGTGTTCATTGTCGCTTGGCACGTTAGTGCTACTTGTTGTTGTAATGAGCCAAAGTCTGTCGACTGTTGTTGGTCAACTGTTGTTGGCATTTTCACAAGGCCAAATGTGAGCACTTGTTTCTCTGAGAAACTATCTCTCAACAGAGGAGGAGGTCTGCGACAACAGTTATTCCCAACCCTGTCCCTGTCCTTTCATTCCTTCCTAGGAGATTGAACTAACTCACATTTTGGGCTCATGTGTCAGTGACAATGCCAAATACAGACTTGGCTTTTGGTGACTCCAGCGAGCATAACAACTGTCGTTACAACAGCTAAGAGCAGTAACGAACCAAGTTGTATGTGTAGGTACCAAACCTGGGCTGCCTGCCGGATCTCTACCTGCACATGTGCAAAAGTGGTGGTCTGTCAAAGAAGGTTACCACAAATGTGCTGGTTCATAATTACTCGTGGGTTGTTGTCTGTTCTAATCTCAGGGCGTCAAATACTGACGCTTTCAGAAAGGCATTATTTGATGCAAAAGGTACCCTTCAGCGTCCGTATGAGATGCCCCTTGGCGTGTCTGTATCAGACGCCCTGTTTAGACTGGAAGCGCTAGTAGCTAGCTAGGTAGCTAGCTATGTTAGTATAAAAGGTGTTGACAGCTTTCCAAAACCCCTTACTCTTACCCTAACCATCACAGGGGTGTGTGCCTAAACGGATCCGGCAGGCAGTACGGATTTGGCACTGACAGTATCCACCACCTTGTGGGGTCGTTCCCCACAGATGTTAAAAACCTGGGATTCCCTGCCAGTCAGCCAGAAATGAAGAAGCCTCTTGGATATTTGCCACAAAATGCTCTTAGTCAACAAATAACATGAGATGGGGAAATGTGAATCTCCACACACTGCAACTTTAACCTTTTTAACTAAACCCGTGGGACTGAGGCTGTTTGTGTTTATTTAGTTATCCAAGTTATTCATGAAGACTCAACTTGTCTGTTTGTATTAAAGTTAAAGTGTGCGTGTGAGTGCGAGGCATGACATACAGCGACAGGTGCAGGCTGTCACAGCAGCTACGGTATCAGCTGCCACAGAGGAAATACAATCAGCTATACTGCCTCAATACACACATACAGCTTTACAGTTTGACATGAAAACTCACTGTGTGTGTGTGTGTGTGTGTGTGTGTGTGTGTGTGTGTGTGTGTGTGCGTGTGTGTGTATGTGTGTTTGTGTGTGTGCGTGCGTACGTGCATGTGTGTGAATGTGACCTGTTTCCATGGAACACTTTAGTTATGTTAAGGTAAATGCACACTATGATGCAAGCCTTTTTGTTGTGTGTCCTGTATGTTAGCTGTATCTGTTACTGTCGTGGTTACTGTCTGTTTTTTCATGTGTGTTTGTTTTTAGTATTAAAACATGCAATCTGATGGTACTGGAAGGTTTACAAGTGCTGTTGATTTGGACTTTTGTTAACTTTGCTAAAACCTAGCAGTTTTACTGACCTCTATTGGTGAAAATACTGTTGCACATGTAACCACACCTAATAGCGTACCTAATACATGCCGAAGAAACTTCTACATCACTGCAACAAGATCAACCACTGGATGTCCATGAAAACAACATTTTCATAAAATAGTCTTACTCTTTAAATTTGTTTTAAATGTTTTATTTAACACCTAAAAATGCCCAGCTCAAGTCACATTGCTCTAACCTCGACTTTAGAGAGGTTTATGTGAGAAAAAAATAGTTTACATGAAATGATTACATGAAATAGTTCATTCCTATTACTTCAGTAATCGTTTAATTTGAGGAAATGTTTCCTCTGAAAACAGATTAAATACAATAATGAGAACCTTTTACTGAATCTCATTGGTAATGTTCTAATGTTTGTTTGACTTACAGGCTTGATGAAGTCAGATCTTAACACACGGATATTAATAGCAGTTAACACCTTTTCTACTGTTTCTCTTCACACATCTCTTCTCTGTGTGTATCTCTGTATCCCTGAACCTTTAGCTTAATTTAACCTGCATAACCTGTGTTATGCACATTTTTGCATTATGAAACCAAATGGATAGAGGCATGCTTTACAAGTTTCACATCCTCTCACCTTCCTTTTCCACACGTGAGTGTCTGCCCTCACTTCCCTGTCAAACATTTGTCAGGGTGTGTCTGTGTTTTATCCTGTTACAAGGTGTTAAATAGCATTATAGAGCTGACAACAGACAATCACGTATATGCTGTGTAATCCCTCACCCACAAAGACTCAAGCATTTACATGGACGATTACAGACACGCTCACACCCCTGTTGACAAGCAGATGAAGTTTAATCCATGTAGATCAAAACAGACACCCTCTGAGCTGTAACCCAGGCCTGTTTGTAGTACACAGGGCTGGAGGTATGCCCTCTAGATAAACACACACACATACACACACACACATACTTTCTTTGTCTCTCTATCTCTTGAATATATATTGTATATGTACCTGTAACAAGGCATAGCCTTGCAGTTATACAGTATATCCGCAAATGCACGCATATGCAAAAGTGCATGCATGCACAAATGCTCACTCATGTAACATGTGTATACACACATGGAATCATACATTGCCATACCCACACACATGTACAAACTGGCTTTGCAGAATATGCAGGATATACATACACAGATACACAATGTCCTGAATGTGTGTGTCTTACAGAGAGAGAGATCTGCCAAGTGTATCTTATGATCACAGAGAGTTTATAGACGGTGAGTGTGTGTGACTGCCTGAACTGAAGTCGACCCAACATCTCCTGCCAAAAAGGGAGAAAGACAGAGAGAACAAACAGACATTCTTTCTGTGTGTTTGTCCGTCTGTCACGTACAAACACGCCACATTTCTCAGAAAGTAGTGTGAAACTCAAAGGCTGTAATGTGCAGGGTATGATGTGGGGCTGCGCAACGCCTAACCACACAGATCCTTCCTTTCAAATGTCGACAATCTGCGCAGGATCTCCAGTGGCAATACATGCATAAATATTAATTCTTCTTCAGTTGGACAGTCAGTTTAACCTTTACACACTGGAGTTGCATATATATATATTTATATACGGGAGCAGACAAGCCAAAGCAAATGTGAAGTTTGAGCTCATGTGATGATCAAACACAGCACTTGAGCTTTGGTTTGACACTAAATATAGAAAGGTATGAACATTTCTAAGGCGGCTTTCCTCCTATTTCCTCCTTTTAAAACATGTATGCATGGGTGTGTATGGTATGCATCTGTTTGTGTGTGTGTGTGTGTGTTTGTGTGTGTGTGTGTGTGTGTGTGTGTGTGTGTATGTACGCATTGCCCGGGTGGCTGCTCTTCTACAGTGGACTGCTGTTTGCACAGAGACATTACATAATGTTTGTCTGTCCTTGGGTACTCGGGTGGAGGCATCTGAGAGTCACTCGACACAAGTGTCCTCCGTGAACTGAGGCAAAAAATGACAGCGACTGAGGTAAGAAGAGTTAAAGGGAGACACAAGGTTTTGACCTCAGAATAAATTAAGGGAAATATAATGCATAAACTATTTCTACAGAGCAAAGAATTGAAACAGGACACACAGACTAGGTCTCAGTTGTGAAGCAGAGTTCCTGTGGCTCAGGTCCTACAGTATCTGTTTGGCAAGACCTGAAGTTGCTTAAGGTCCTCTCAGATCCTTTCTCCAAATATGTTTACAATAGGCTATATTTAATTTTGTCATCCTAACTGTCTATACTGTCATTTTAAGCACTGCCGTCAGTCAGTGCTGAAAGGAAAAACTAGTTTCCACAAACTTATACCGCTGTTGCACGCGTTGTGTTTTGACTGACAACTCAAAGTTTTCACATCTAGCAACAGCCTCACATTATAACTTGCATTATTCCTCCTTTTGCCAGTAAAAAACAGGCATTACAACCAAATCACAACACACATTAGTTATGGGAACAAACACAACTCTGTGTCCAACCCCAACATGACTCAACACTACACTGATCAGTTCTGGTAGCTTTGGTCTATAAATAAGGACTCTATCTTACTCACACGTCATTCTGCAGTGACACTGGCCAAGCTACTGACTGTAAATGAGACCCTTGATCTGGGTTTGGATCACAGCCCTGATAACTCGTTGGAGGGGGTTTTGTGTAAGTTTCCCCCTAAAAAGATTTTATATACATTGGTGATACTAATAATTACTAATAATAAGATTTTGTGAAAACTTAAGAAAAAAAAACATACATTTGCAGCCTAAAATGGTGGGTACTTTTATTTTACACTTTAGGTTTTGTACAGATTTAACAAGATATAACATGTTGATAAATGGTCTTTAGAGGTGCTGGTAGGTAGATTTTTTACCTTTTAAGTGACCCAGACAAGCTGTCTCCACCTGCAGTCTCCTTTAACTTCTCATCTAACCCTTAGCTAGAAAGTGAGTTTAAGTGCAGAACCATTCTAAGACAGTCATGATAGATGGTAAACATGGAGAACATTGGAGGTGAAGCATGTTAAGTGACACTTATGCTGGGCTGCGCAATATATTACTCAGTATATGTTGTCTCAGCAGCAGCTTTGGTGCTCATGCAGGTTGTGCGAGAGCGAGATGTGGCGCACTCCAGCTGTCATACACTGACCAAACACAGACAAAGCCAGCAAATGCTCAAAGCTGTTCCAAAGTTGAGATGAAACTCCAAGAAGTCCTCATACTCCACAAAACTCTAACATCAACCATCAAACTAAGAGGAGCCGACTCAACCTGTGGATGGTATTTGAGGCATTGGTGGTATTCTGGGAGTTGAAAATCAAACAGGCCTTGGCTCAGGGTGCAGAGCTTCCTTTACCTTCTGTACCGTCTGTATAGATTTACTTGACAGATCCATATGTTACTGAGGTGAACAGGCGACCACAGTGAGATTTACCAGGTTAGTGAGGAGAATTTTTATGTGACATTATTTTAATTATGTAACTTTACATTTTATATTTCTTGCATAGGTGTTTGTAAATATATTTATGGAGGGCCCAAAGTACCAAAAGATATTTTTTTAGAGTCATATGTATTTTTTTAATACATGTTCAAGGGAGCAGCACAAGTAGCTTAGCTGGTAGCTACATTAATCGACAGATAGAAGCTGTTGGATATATTAATAGTAATCAATTTGTTCCAGTGTCTAACTGTCATACTGTAACAAAAAAAGCCCCAAAAACATTTTCCCCATAGACCCCATTATAAAAGACATGTCTGTAAACTTTTGACAGGGCATCTGACAGTGGGAGAAAAGTGAGCAATTTTCATTACTAAATGTGTGCCATCTTTGGAATCCAGTATGTAGTTATCCATGTGATAGCCACACAGGTGTTTTTGCCAAACTAGCAGCATAGGTCCAGGGCTGTCCATGTCTGTCTGTCGGACAGTCCATCACTTTGTTCAAGACTAAAATATCTCAACAACTGTTTTGAAATGTTGAAAAGGACATTCATGTATCCAAGAGTGTTTCTATTAATGACTTTGGTGCCATCAGCAGGTTGACATTTGTGGTTTTGAGTAAAATGTCAAACAACTGGATGGATTGGCAATAAATTTGGTACTGACATTTATGTTCCCTCAGGATGAATTGTAACAACTCTGATCTTCTGATTTTTCACATCACGACATCAGCTGGCCAAAACACCAAGAGCGTGTGAGGAAATCAAAAATCATAACATGGAGATAACATGAGTGGTAGTCCTCACAAAGTAAATATGGCGACATGCACAAGTGTTATTTTCACAGTAGCCTACACAATGTTTGAATAAAAATACCAAAACATAAGCACTCAGTAGCATTGTGTTTTTGCTTGGCATAACTGATTTCCTGAAGTCCTCCGTTTTCAACTTTCCGAAACTAAAAAATACTAGCGTGGATGATGTTTGTAAATAGCACATGAAGTCCTCTTTTGAGTAACTTTGATTTTTAATTAATTGTCACTGATCCATCCCAGACCTTAAAGATCATTTAAAAAGAATATTTAGTGATTTAATAGAAAACATGTGTTATCTATTATATCTAAAACATGTTTAGATGTTGTGATAAACATGAGCATTGTGGAAGCAGAACACTGTTTACAGAACAGTATAAGCATGATGCAACGGCTTAATATTGTGGGTTTTAATGGCTTAATCACATTCTAGGTGCCACTTCTGTTCACCTTTCAGGAAATAACACATTGTTGAAGAGTGTGTGTGTGTGTGTGTGTGTGTGTGTGTGTGTGTGTGTGTGAGAGAGAGATTTGTACTTCCCTATTGTTGAAACAATACCTGCTGTACTAAACTATAAGTGTTCTTGTAGTTTCAGACAGGTTTGTGGCTTCTCGACTGAACACTTGTTGGTGCTGCCAATGCTCCAACTAATGGTGTATACATATATATATATATATATGTGTGTGTGT